GCCGGATGGTGAGGGGGGGGGGCGGTGCTGGGAAGGCATCGCTTCTATTTACCGTTGGGAGCTGAGTGCAGAGAAGGATGGGTGCCGAGGGGGAGCGCCGGATGGTGAGGGTGAGATGATCGTGCAAAAAGCTGGATGGGGAATGAGTTGAATATTCCATTGACTCACCCACCCCGTTGAGCCTATCCTCCTGAAGCTCGGGTCGAGACACTGTGTGCTCTCGGCTAAGTAACCTTCCTGAGCACAATTATGAGATAACCTCCTTAGCTGCGTTCTAGCGCTCGATGTTGAGAAAAAAGCGGAGGTCTCGCAACTACATTATTACCTTCTTTTATAGACATACATAGCATGATGCCAGTACAACTCGAAATCATAGTTTCGAAGTGCCCAGTTAGCTCCACATACATACATCGCTTCACTCCGCAGCGCTCACCCAACTCCATTAACCCACCCACCAAATACCGCTTTCCATATAAGAAGGAAATGTAGAATAGAGCTGGGTTTGCTATATCTCTATCTTTATCGTAATCATAAACCTTACGGACGGACAGACAGGCAAACCGACAAACCGACACACCAAGTTACTGCTTTATAAATAAGTGAGATATGGTCGCCCATCAGTTGCCAAGAAACCCTTTCTTGAGGTAAACGTGTCGATGCGTTGGAATACGATACCACGGATTCACTCAAATGCTGATCCCACCTACGACTTGCTCTGAAGTTGCCCTCTATGGACCTCCACTGATGATTTTTAGCATTGTCCAGTGGAGATCGCTGTTGCACAGCAAGATTATTATATTCGTTAGGAGCCTTGTGAAGTGTCACCGGTTTTTGAAGTTTAATAGGGAATGTTCCACCACTCAAAACCTGTTTCTCACAGAAGCACTGACTACTTTTACAACAAACGCCCAGCTTTCAAGAGAGGCGATAATCACAATGTTTTTACTCATTGCTTAATTTCATTATTCATAAATTTAATTAATCACCGAAATCATAATTAACTGTGTCTTCTTTAAGATTCTTCAGTAATTCCAAACTTCTTTGCCTATCGATTATCGATTTCCGATTTCTGACTTTTACTGACGTTTATCGAACTAATGAATACTGCGTCTATGAATAATACCAGAGTTGCATAGATGTATTCTTCTGGCAATATTTTATATTTATGACCCCTGATTATCTTCTGAAAAGAATCAAAAGCACATGAATTACTGAAGGGCGATTTGACGAATAAAACTATTTTCGCAGGGAGGTACAAACCTGGACATAAATACTTGATTGAACCATAAACAACAGGCACACAATGACCGAGACGGCAACGCCAAGCCACTGAAGAAAAAGATCGATGGTTTTGGATATCAGGGAAACTAATTTTTTTAATTGGGGCGGAGCTTCACTACCATTATATAGATTGTATACTGATTTTCGGACCACCCAGACTAATCAACTGTAATTCAATTCTTTTGGGTCGTATGCTGTGCTTTCATAAGTATAGGGTATAGGGTAACCCTCAAAGTTTGAACTGCCAGAATAAGCAGCCAAGCGGGTTCATTTCACTATCCAGTGTGCCCCTTGAACAAGCCTCAAATCAGGCTCTGGCTGCATCATCTTTCACTTCAACATTTTTATCACTTTAAGTCTTCATAATAATAATGGCACCTTGAGGGATTGAGCAATCCGTCTATGTTGATATCAAAGGCAAGCCAAATAAGAAGCAATGACTTCTCATCGTTTTAACGGAACATGGGTTAATCTTGGACTGACGGTTATTTGCATAAATCTCCCTCAGAACGGTGACCCACAAATTCTCCATCAAGTTGAAATCGGGACGGCGAGGTGGCCGAAGCATACCCTCTATCCTTTCTAAATGCAGCCACTCCTTCGTTGAACCACCAATGTGGAAGGCAGGACTGTTCTGCTGAATGGGGATATTGTCGTTACTGTCAGAAAGTACTAGGCGGGAGGGCGGTAGACGGTGTAAGCAGCCATACGGTGGTTTTCGACTTCCGAATGCAATTTGATGTCCATTTTCAATTAGGGCCCAATAAGAGGTATTGGTCAAAGAAATTTTATACATTCTCATCCTGTCGTTAGCTTTAACTTTGGGGTGTACTCGTATAGCCTCCGGTTACATTGAAACTCTTCAAAGGCCTTTAAACGAAGGAGAGGGAACTTCTGACCCGTTTCCTAATAACTGTTATAATGAGTCTACATCACGAATAACTCCAACTAATGCTTCTCCTTAAGGAGATAGGTAAGGCCACAATGTGTGGTAGATGTTGCTACCGAAACGTATTTGCAACACTCTTCTTCTCATATAGCCTCCTCCAACTAAATCCTTTCGCTACTAAATTATATAATGTTCAAATCTTCTACGCAAAAGACGATGCAGCTGGAATTTGAAAATGAGGTTTATTCAAGCTGAGAATCTGATATCAATGCTGAGAGCGTACCCGACTGGCTGTTTATCCGGGAATGCAAAATTTGACTGTGGCATTACACTTAAGATATGCACTCTAACTTGACGACATAAAATGTTGGTCCTTAACCGTCTGTTCGTAATTCGCTGTGTTTCGCGAATAAACAAGGAATACAGAGGTGCTCTTCTGAATAAATGTTGAATGCGCGGCGCATCTGAGGATTAGGAACGAGATGCGGGGGAAAATGAACCGTGCTGTAGCTCAAGCCTATCGCCACACATGCAATTGGTCTAACTTCTGCCTTGTTCAGGGAAGCCCTTACCTTCTAGGGCCATTTGTTGGCTCCTAACTTGCAGGAGAGTATAAGGGAGCTCGTGCATGGACTCGTAAAAGTGCTAAGTGCTAGATTAAACATTTCTGGATTTCTACTAAAGATTGATTACGCTAAGAGGATTGGGACCATCAATTTTCATTTTGCAAAGGGAAAAGTAGGAGGGAAACTAACTTTTATCGGTATGAAAACATCCGTTATAGTAACAGCAACTCCGTATAACAATACAACTAGGCTTGCGGAGAATAGGATGAAGAACTTGCTGAATCGAAGGCATCAAATGTTAATGTTCGATCTGGCACAGCTACCTGAGGTCGCTGCAGATGCCGTTACCTACTTTCAACGAAACAACGGTGTCGACCTTAGCCAGTCGTGGTAAGGGAGCGGAGGGTGGGAGAGGAAGTGATCTTAAAACGTACCAAGCCCTCCTAAAGAACTGCATACCACTCTTTGCACAAAAGTTGAATGCACAGTTCACGATGAAAATGGTTTCCGAGATTTTCCTATAGGATGAATTTGAGGTACACTCGTACACCACATCTGACGGTGTTAGGTCGGAAAACGACGTAGTTAGAGAGTTATAAAGACTCAAAGAAGACAATGTAGAGGCTGCATTGATCACAAGGGAACCCATGTAGGAAGCTCAAGCAATTTGTCATGACTCATAGCGAGAGTGAAAACATTCTGAACAGTTTTGGTTGATGTAGTCAGCTCCTTGCGCAATTGCAGCAACTGAAATCTCGTCCGAAGACGCTTTCCATGTCATTTCCGTCGTGGTGATCTCGTTCAACTTATATTTTCCCTACTTTTAAGGAGCCATATTTTACTCGAAATCGACGGAATTTCGTGGTTACTTCACTACCAGTGAACTATTCCCAACCACTCATCCCATTATTTTTTACACGACTGTTCCGTCAAGAGAAGAACTCGTATGTGGTTTGGGAACACCTCACGTTATAAGTATTCCTGGTGGTTTTACAAATTCATTACCGTTATATCAACTGAAAAAAGTGAGTTGGAAATGAAAAGTTCGCAAACCTTGTGATATCAAAGGAAGAGTATGATGCACATACTATGATCACACCACATGTCAGAGTAATGGCAAGCAGGGCAAGAAGAAGTGTATATGCCGGTACCATTGTGGCCAGAATCATAAGCAGAAAACCAAGTGCCAAAGTCTGGAAGGAAATTCCGGCAAAAATAAAAAAAATAGAGATTCTTCGAGAGTTCTCAACCCTCCAGCCCACATGGTTCCACACAATCTGCGTTTTCTTCTACTCAAATTCTCGTTCCCGAGACAGTGTGTTACCGGAAAATACGTGGGCGAGTGTAGGTATGGGTTAGGGCGACCTAGTTGTATGGCATCTAGATGGTATTCGGCGCCTCCTGACCTTAGCAGAAAAAGACAGCTGTAGAAACAGTTCAGACTCAATGTCCCCAGACGACAGTGTCCCCATAGAGCAAACCGTTCTCTGTGCTCCAATAGAAGAACCGAGAAAAGCTGACTGTGAGTAATTGACTGTTGGGCCGAAAGTTCCTTTTCGGAAAACAATAAGAAGTGCAACTTACAAAAATCACTACCATGGTGATATTTAGGGGAAAGTAGCGAACATCTGAATGGAAGCAAATCAAGATAAAATACGTCACGATAAATATGCCTCTGAAAAGTAATTGTTACTGAGTCGCTGATGTCATAGGAGTCACAGCTCCAGGACTGAATCGCTTCTGCTTTTTCGAACGTAGGCAAAAACAGTGTTCCTTATAGAAATGAAGAGTCGATTATTCTTAGTGATCAGCAACTGAAAAAGCTGCCTTGTATGATAATGTACTGAGGGTCAGGTGAGCAGATTTCACTGAAATTTAAGAAGAGGGTTGGATCTTGATTCTAGTCTTCTCAGTGCAAACCTTATAGTGCTACTGGAAATATTTCTGACGCTCTACTACGAACGGGGCAAAAAGGTGGTACCGGTAGCGACTAAAGGTCCACTTTCCTTTCTGCAATAATTATCATGCATCTCTCGACAGGAATTGCCTATCAAGTGAGAAGATATCTTCAAGATGGGGACTCTGACTGGTGGTATAGGCTCTCGAATAGGCCTTAGAGCGTAACAGCAGTTGACGTGATACATATGATAGTGCTTATCTGGCACTTTCGAGCTGTATGAAGCCAAAGCATACTTTATCACATGCATATTACTACTTTACACAAAGCATCATAGCATTCGCTTTTCCAACATGGCAGTCATCCCTTAACTAGTGACTCAGTTAGCCTTCGTTTGAAACTATGGCCTCAAGCTGATCATGTAATTTGGGGAGGGGAACACTCTACTATGCTCGTGTCTCTAATGCTGAACTCAGAACACAGGCATAGATGCAGTACGAGCCCGAGGGTCTGTAGTGATACTTAGAAAAGAATTGAGCTAGAGGGATGTCACTTTCTCGGCTAACCCTTAGAAGACGAGCAGTGCCAGAGGTAAGTGTGACGCTGACCTCCTGAAAAATCGGAATGAGAGGATTGACTAACGGGCCACGTTTTCCCTGAGAGAGAAACAAGGGTCACAAAAAAGGTCGCCGTCTGCCTCTGCATTATTTTCATCCGCACTTGCATGCCTTCGCTAGAACCTGTCGAAATCTCTAATTAAGAAACCCATTCAAAATCATCTGGCACTTATTTTAATAACTCCACAAGAAGCAAGAGCAACTCACAGAGCAAGAGAGCTGAGCCATAAATGTTTAAGTATAAACGTTTTCACGCTTTGGCACATAAAAACTGTTGATGTAAAAGCAATGCTGACAAGAAACTGAATGGTATATAGTCATCACAAAAGATATTTCCTATGGATTTTACAAACGTACCATTACTGCAAGAACTATGAACACCTTCCGAACAAATCTGTTTCTCATAGAACCATCATCGAATAGGAATTTCGTCATTGGCTTCCTCATTCCGCTTTCCTCATCGCTCTGAAAAAACGGTGCAAGCAATTGCTGATTTTCTTCTGTAATAGCCAAACCTGTAATACCTCGCTCCTTGATTTCTTTCTCGGTGAATCGGCCAGATCGTTGCTCATCACAAGACAGAAGGATCACGCTTGTTTACTGGAAGAGGGAGTTAAAAAGATACTTATCAAACTTAGGATTTGATATTCCGATATAATCAGTCTGATGAGAAAAATAAATCCCAGCCATTCATAAGCACAGTTTCCAGACCTAATTAAAAAGGATGGATGGGAAACGGGCGTTAGGAATGATTTTGGGAAGTCGATTCGCCGCACGCGGCTGTAGCGGACCACTCATTCGCCGTTATTACAGCTCTAGCGTTCTTCATACAGCTCAATCGATATGCGCTCATTATTTTATGCATAATTCTACTATTAGTACTTTTGTTCTTGTATTTCTTACCTACTGCTGCATTCCGCTACATTCCTTCGAGCGCGACGTCCCTCTCAGCGCGAAGCGACCTTTTCGTTCCTAATGCACCACACCCAGAATGGATCCTGACAAAATATGTAGCTGGTGATTGATCTCCTTCAAAACCTCCCTTTACACCACGCCTAGGGATCGAATCTATAAGAGCTCTTGGAGCAGTGCTCACATGGTCATGCGTGGAAACCAGTTCTTGCTAGTGATTTCATGCTCACAGGCGAGTTTGGTACCATTCTGGCCGTTAAAAACGTGGATGACACAAGCGAGGTCAGACTCTTTGAAAGGGAACCATGCTTTTTACACATGTCATTATACCAAAAGGCGGAGGTGGTGTAGTGGCTAGTGGCGCACTGTATCACACGCACGGTCAGGGGTTCGAATCCCGGATCGATGCTCGTCTAGGCCAACCAAGCCCTCCATCCCTCCGGGGTCGGTGAATTGGTACTAGACATGTCTGGGAGGGTAAAAACACTGACTTACATCGGGTGGCCCTCACAAGTCATTGTATAGGCCATATATGCCTTCATTACACCACTATGATTCTGAATGGAAATCGAGTGCGGGGGCGCATCCCTCAGACGGGAACGCATAACGCCAAAAACTTTATTCTTTATCCATTATGCCAACTTCGACCATGCTAACTCCACCATTCCAAATATTACATTGAAAAACCAATGATCTGTTTTGTAGACTTTTAGTTGTAAACGTTGTTCAAACTACAAGAACAATTTAGCCAATTTTACCGAAGCAGTCAACCTGTGGCGACATCGCAAAAATCACACTGGCAGTAACCCTTTTGTTTCTTCTTTATAGTCTCCTGTGGACAAACAGACCTCTACTTAGCCCACACCATCATCGGCTAATGCTCTCTCCCATCGAATCGTTACAAAAACTTCACGTCCTGCAGGATCTCTAACCTTGGCTGAGAGGACCCGTCTTACTTGGAAAGAATTCACGATAGGTGAGGTCAGCATCTGATTTGAAAAGTCCGTTTATTGGTGAAAAATTTGAACCTCCCCAAGAACCCTTTTGCGAATGAATGTGGAAACATCATAGTGAATTTGGCAGTAATTACTCGGTTACTTAATTGTTATCGTTACTTAATTTATTTACTATAATTATTTTCGCTAATTGTTTTACAAAATTGATAGGACGTTCCCCATCGGACCGTCAACTATTTCATAACTGCTAAAAACAAAAATAAGAAAATGATCAGTAAAGCCCACCTAAAAAGGAACGTCTTAGCACAGCTCAACCGTAGGTTTGATTCAAACACGTTCTATCAAAATTCATTTCTGACCACACCCTGTTCGCCTGCTCAGGGAGGGCAGGTTTCTTTACGTTCCAAAGAGCCATGGTCACCATGTGAAAAGCTCAAATACTATCTTTGGAGACGACATTCGAGCAACTAAGCCTTCCATGAAGAAAGAGCCTTTATCATTTGATTTTCACAATCAAATAGAGCAGCTAATACACCAAAAATAACTGCCTTNAGTTCAGGTTCATCACATGTGTTCGGGAATGAACAATTCCCAAGGCGTGGGAAAACTACAAGATGGCGCCCTTATCAGTTTTGCAATGGAGACGGTTATCGTCGAAGATTCGAAAATCATCAAGGAAAAATTATAGATCTCTGACTTCCCAATGTATAGGGATTTGAAGAGACCACTTGTAGAGGACTCAACTTCAGCACGACTCAATTACTTGTAAAATTGGGGGGTTTGAAAAAAGTTGTGTTGATATCCATAGAGTTTCACGTCATCGAATTGGGGAGCCCAAGGAACTTGCGATTAGCGTATGCTGAGCGGTGATAAGTGGAAGAGATAACTGATACATTACCTGCAGCGTCAGTTCGAGATGCTCGTCTCGCTGCTCACTTTGTTGATTGGGGTGGTAAGCACATCTCTTATTACTCACTATTTATTGTTTTCTACCTCATGGTAACCCTAAAAGGGAATAAGTCACTAAATCGCCCCTACGTGCACTCCAGACTCGATCTATATTGAATCTGTTGAATGCCACCGAAGTTCACCACACCGCACTCACCATGTGCATGGCCCAGGAATCTATGACCGAGTGGACGACCGCCCAGGACTACTGAGCATTGTATCTTTCCGAGTTCGGCTACTAGGCACCAGTTCGTCCGGGTGGAATAAAACCCTTTTCCGGACAACGGATTGTCGCTACGAGCCATTTCAACAGAAATGAAAAACAACAAGATGGAAAGACTAGATCGCCTGGAACTCCTTTAAATTTGCCCCTACAGTTAGCCGGAAGACACTAGTTTGGAAAAGTCAAGAAAAATAGTTTCAGTTGTTACATTGCGATGCTCGAATAGTCCCCAATCCAGACTTTCCTGCAGAATGCCGTGTAGGAGAACCCAATCTCTATGATCCGTCTCAGTCTATGGAGGTCAGTACTTTCCTGTTGAAGGGTTAAAAGTATTTCTGATATCTGTATGCTACAATTTTCCACAGGTGCCATGGTTTACAGTCGACCTAGACGCACCAGCCAAAGAACGATTCAAGCATGTTGTGAGGCCTTTCAAAAACGAGATTCAGGCTGTTTTTGACGTCCTAGCAGTGAGTTAATGAATTTCATTAGGAACGATTTTACTGGTTAATGGTTCTAAGCTTTGATGATAGAAACTATCGATCTTACTAATCGGTACCGTTCAACATAACTATTGGCTAACCAATTGGCATTTGTAGAAATCATGATTTCATCTAATCACTTCTTACTGGAATTTTGATTGATTAAGGGCTGAAAGTCGAATAATTTGCCCTTCACCAGAGGTGATTTGATTGTCGAAATAGAACTTTCTGCCTAGGACTTCTTCACAATCATTCCTGGAATTCCGGTATGGGATATGCTCGGTGATGTCATGCTCAAGGTATTCGAGGAGGGAATGATTATGCAGCCTTATAAGGACGAAGTGCAGGTAAATAATGAAGGTTCTCTCAAATACGAGCCTCCTTTGAGTGCACTCGCATTTTACTGTTACTTTTACTAGATTTATTTTACTTCATCTACATGTACTGCTAGTCATAAGGTAATTTCTTCTCCGTGCCAAAGTGGGGCACTGGACAAAGCTCA